GACATGCTGAGAGAATGGGCATGAGCATAGTAGATAAAATGTAACTTGGATAAATGTGAGGTTGTTCACTTTGGCGCAAGAAATGAAGTGCAGATTAGTTTTTAATTTTTAAAGTTTGTTTAATGGACATGGGCTTCAGTGGCTGGACCAGTATTTATTACCATCTCTAATTGTTCTTGTGAAGATGCTGGTGAGCTGTTGCCTTGAACCACAGTAGTCCAATTTTATAAGCTCATACAGAGTGCTGTTACAGAGGAACTTCTAGGATTTGGACAACAAGGAAATGGCGATACTTCCAAGCCAGGATGCTGAGTTGCTTGGAGGGAATTTGCATGTGATGGTGTTTCCACGAATCTGCTGCCTTTGTCCTTCTAGATGGAAGTGGTCATGGGTTTGGAAGATGCTGTCTAAGGATCTTTGATGCATTGCATCTTGTAGATCTTTAACACTTGAAATTATCAATGAAAGCATTTGTAACAATGTGAAATAATATACTTTAACATAGGGAAAAGGCACTTAGCACGATCATAATTAAAGAAAACTTGGCATTGAACCAGATAGAACTAGGATGGTTGGATGAAGTTAGAGATGGGAAGGGATAAGGCCAAGGAGGAGGTTTGAAAACTGAAATAAGAACTTTAAAATCAAAGTGATTACAGTCTGGATGCCATTATAGACCAGTAAGCAGTAAATCAGTAAAGATGATGGATGAACAAGACACGGTGTATAGTAGCACATGGACAGTGATATCTTGGAGGATAGTATGTATTTGGCCAGCCAGGTGTGTTTTCATAGAATCAATGCAGTGTGGAAACAGACCATTCGCCCCAACAAGTCCACACCGACTCTCCAAAGAGCATCCCAACCAGATTCACTTCCCTACCCTATCTCTGCAACCCTGCATTTACAATGGCTAATCCACCTAACTTACACACCCCTGGACACTATAGGCAATTTAGCATGGCCAATCCACCTAACCTGCACATCTTTGGACTTTGGGAGGAAACCAGAGCACCCGGCGGAAACCCACACAGACATAGGGAAGAATGTGCAAACTCCACACAGGCAGTTGCCAAAGGCTAACATTGAACCTGTGTTGCTGGTGCAGTGAAGCAACAGTGCTAACCACTGAAGCACCGTGCTGTGTTGTGATAGTCAAAAGTTAACAGGCTTGAATAAGGGTTTCAGCAGCCGTTGAGCTGAGGCAGGGACAGTGTTGGTCCATACTAAGAAGGTGGAAATAGGTGCTCTTAACAAAACTAAAGATCACATAATCAGAAACACATCTCAGTCAAATGTAATACCGAGGTTGCAATCAGTCTTGTTCAACGTCAGACAGTTGCCATGAGATTAATAGAGCTACTCCTGATGTTGGGTTAGCTATAAAAGTATAATAGTGTTGTTTTGTTTCAATAAAGAATTTGATATTTTGTGATTGAAATAGAGAACATTTGCACCAGTCATGAAGGCCTTTTGGCCCATTGTGCCTGTGCTGACTCTGCAAGAGCAATTCTGCTAATCCCCTTACCCTATTTTTATCCAGTAATCTTGCAAGTATCTTCTGTTCAGATAATTATAGCATTTTCTTTTTTAAAAAAAAAACTGGATTGAACTTGTCTCCGTCACAGACTCAGGCAGTATATGCCAGGTAGTAAAAATTAACTACTTAACAAGTTATTTTCCTCATGTCAATTCCTATTTTATTAGCAGATAATTTAAATTATTGCCCTTTGGTCTTGACCCTTCCACCAACAGGAACGACTTCTCCCTATTTGCTCTGTCCAGATCCCTCATGACTCTGAACGCCTCTTTGTAATCTCTAATCCGTCTTCTCTTTTGTAGTAACAACTGGGCCAGCTTCTCCAGTCTATCCACGTAACTTATATCATTCATCCTGGTACCATTCTGGTAAATCCTTTCTGCACGCTCTCATACGACCATGCACAGTATTCTAGTTTAGGCCAGGAAAGTGTTTATTAAGGTTCATCATAACTTCAGGACTTTTGTAGTCTATGCATCGATTAATAAAAGCCAGGATCCTGCACACTTTGTTAACCTGTTTCTCAATCTGCTATATATTCTTCAAATGATTAGTGCATATAACTCCCTAGGTCCATCTGCTCTGACCTCCTTTATAATTGCATCTTTTATATTTCCTGTCCTTGTTCTTCCTACTAAAATGTATCACTTTGTACTTTTGCTTTATTAAATATCATCAGCCACGTCTGCCTATTTATCATCTGTCTATGTCTTTTTGATGTCAATCATGATCCTCCTAACAGTTCCAAGCTTATGCCAACTGCACATTTTGAAATTGTCACCTGAGCTGTGAAGACCAAGTGACTAACATAGATCAAGCCATGGTCCTAATACCAGCCTTTAGAGAACCCCAGTCTATGATATCCTGTAGGAAAAATTTCCATTATTCTTTGTTCCCTGTCACTCAACCAACTTCGGAGTCAATCTGACACAGTCACATTGTTCTATGGACTTTAACATTGTTGACAAGCTTGTTATGTGGAACTATTTCAAATGCCTTTTGAAAATCTATATGCACCTGAATCACATTACCATTAAAGGTCTCTGTTACCTTAACCAAATGTTAAATGAGACTAGTTGAACATAATTTTCTTTTATTAATTCATGAACATCACTGGCTAGGCCAGAACTTTTTGACCAACTTTAGATGCGTTTGCGAAGATGTAGTGAACTGCCTTCTTGAACCACTGCAATCTATATGGTGCAGATGTCCCATAATTCTGTAATGGAGGGAATTTCAAGATTTAGACCCAACGACACTGAAGAAAAGACAATATATTTTCAAGTCAGCATGGCGGGTGGCATGGAAAGAAACTTGCAGCTGATGGTATTGCCCTGTATCTGCTGGCCTTGTCCATCTAGATAGCATTAGTCATGGTTTTGAAAGATGTTGTCCAAGGAACCTTGGTGAATTTCAGCAGTGCATCTTGTAAATGACATTGTTGCTACTGTGCATTGGTGGTGGAGGGTGCTTTGTCCTGAATGGTGTCAAGCTTTTTGAGTGTTGTTGGAATTGCACTCATCTAGACAAGTGGGGAGTGTTCCATCACACTCGTTAATTGTGCCTCGTAGATGCTGGATAGGCTTTGGGGATTCAGGAGTTAGGTTACCTGCTGCAGGATTCTTAGCCTCTAATGTGTTCTTGTAGCCACAGTGCTCATATGACTAGTTCATTTTAGCTTTTGGTTAATGCTAACTGCCAGAATGTTGATAGTGGATTACTTGGCATTAGAAACATCATTAACTATTGAAGGGAGATGGTTAGAAACTGCCTAGGTGTGATTTCACTGAAGTACAAATGCACAATGCTGCAGGTTGAAGTTATTACAACAAAGAAATAAAGAAAGTCAATTATATTTACATACACAAAGATTTCAAAAGATATAGTAAAATACAATCCCATTGAATCCCGACAGCACTCCTTTATAGTATTCACACCAGAGAGAACTCTGCACTATTATGTACCATATTTGCTAGTAAAGCTCGTCCAAGGGCAACAAAACCCCATTACTCTCCCGGAAGTCTCTGTGTTTTTAAATACATCGTCATGGCGATGAAATATCATCAAATCCTTTGTAGACACTGACCAAACCCTCATGCCTCTAGTTCAAAATCCAAACATCCAGAATGCATAATATTGTAATATATAAATCACCCATCTTGCATCACAGTAGTCCAATGGGACATTAATTAGCCAGGTTGAATTTGTTCTTTTTGTGAACAGGACCTAACTAACACCAATGTGGTAGCTTGGTCAGGGACATGGCTAGTTCTGAAGCACAAGTCTTCAGTATTGCGGTTGGAATGTTGTCAAAGTCCATTGTTGTATCTGTTGCCTTTATCTGTTTCATAATATCACATCGAGTCCGGCACTGTTGGGATGTGGTACTGGCAACCTCAGGAAAGTCAAAATGGCCTGTCCACTTGGCTAATTTGGTCGAAGGTAGATGCAACTGCTTCACTCTTGTCTTTTGCACTGATGTGCTGAACTTCCCCTTCACTTGAGTTTAGAGTATTCGTGGAGGCACTACCTCCTGTCAGTTAAATTGTGTGCTACATCTGGGACAAATGTTTTGGATGGCAGTAGATGAGCAATAAACATTGTGAATTCATATAGCTCATTATGTCAGAAAGCCCCAAAATGACCTCTAATGATTAAAGTTTGTGTGTTTGAGAAAAGTAGCACATCCTGTGTGATTGTTGTTGTACAAATAGCAATTTATTTAGTGAATGTAAATCTCTGGAGCCAAGCAATTACCTCATTTGCTGATCTTAAAGCAATTAGTCATTACTTAATCTGCCGAGCAGACCTTCCTTGGTTATGTGCAGTACAGTTTTGTGTCTCTTCACAAGTGCATTAGAGATTTGTACCGAAGTACCAGTGGTAAAGGCTTGTCTTTAAGCAGTTTAGCAAGAACCACTCTCTCAGCTCTGTGGTAGCTCAAGCCTGCCGTTCAATGGAATGGGGTTTGTCAGAAGAAACTTCTTAGTGACTTACTGGATGCCTGCTGCCAGATCTTACTCAGAAGGGTTCCTCCAAGTAGTTCGCTGTTGCATTAAATGTTTTGACTTGGTGTTATTCCCCTCATCCTGAACAGCACTGTGCTGTCTGTATCAGATCCAATATTGCCCATGCAGCTGCCCTGTGTTCCACCATGTTCTGAGATAAATGGCAATTAAGTAAACAAACAGAAAATCATTGGTAAATGTTGCCATGGCATGTTTTCGCATGCTTTGATTTGCTTCAGTATTTAATCCTATATAGTTTGCCACTTACATTCCAAAACATGTTCACATTTGTGAATTAAAAACCTCCTAAGATTTTGATCCTGGCACTGCATTGGATTTGGTCAAAGCTGGGTAAAAGATGAAGTTGTTTTATTCGTTTAGAAGCATGATTGACAAGCTGAACGCTCCGCATTGTTGATGGTTAACTAACAAAGTGGTCATTCTTTAAACAGGAACATTCTGTTAAATTAAAGAAGAAAAAAGGGAAAAAAATGAAGAAAAGCAAAAAAGAAAAGAAGAAAAAGAAAAAACTGAAGGAAAAGTCCGATGAGCTCAGTGAAAGCTCTTCTGTATGTATCAACTTTAAAAACTTGCTGTAAGATGCTCCATGTTTATATCTTATTTAAATTTAATGGTCTGTTTTAAATGGAAAAGAACACTTGAGTTGCATTTGAATAATTGTGAGGGTGTTACTTATTTTCTGGTTACAGCTTTGCCCTGATTGCCAGTATAGACAATTGCAGAGGTGTATTGAAGAGGAAAGAAGATGAGATACCCCTTCTATGCTGGCATTGGTTAGAACACATGTAGATGAATGCCACTTAGCCCTTGAAATACTGTGCCTCAATAATATATATTTACCTGTATTTCAGAGGAATACCATTATTCTGCAGATTTGCATCCTATAAGTCTGACACTGAATCAGTGATGTTAAACATGGAAGCTGTGAGTCTGCAATTATAACTCAAATACTGAGCTGTTTGTGGATTCTGGCTGGCAGAAAATTTGGTTGCTAAAAACAACAACAACTTGTGTTTTTAGAGCCTTCAACATTGTAAAATGCCCCAGGGTGCTTCACGGAAAAGTTAATCACTTCAGGTGATATTAGGACACGTCACCAAAGGCCTAGTCAAAGAAAAAGGTTTTAAGAAGTTTCTTCAAAAATAAAGTGAAGTTTTATTTGAGGATTGACTAAGCTTAAGACCTAGAAAGCTGACAGTATGGCCATCGGGGTGGGTGGAAGGAAGTGAGGAATGCGTAAAAGGTTAGGATTGGAGAAAAGCAGATTTCTTAGATAGTTATATGGCTGGAGGAGGTTACAAAGATTGGAAAGGACACTGTTGTGGACAGATTTACACATGGCAGTAAGAATTTTAGAATCAAGGTGTACTATTTTGTGGCTTACTTTGAACTTCAAAAAAAATTATTCATAGGGCGGCACGGTGGCTCAGTGGTTAGCAGAGCTGCCTCACAGTGCCAGGGTCCTGGGTTCGATTCCACCCTTGGACGATTGTGCAAACTCCATGCAAACTTTCTCCCCATGTGTGTGTGGATTTCCTTCGGGTGTTCTGGTTTCCTCCCACAGTCCAAAGACGTGCAGGTTAGGTAGATTGGCCATGCTAAATTGCCCCCATAGCGTCCAGGGATGTGCAGGCTTAGATGGCTTAGCCATGGGAATTACAGGGTTACAGCGGTTGGGTCTGGGTGGGATGCTCTTCAGAGGGTTGGTGTGGACTCGATGGGCTGAATGACCCATTTCTGCACTGTAGGGTTTCTGTGATAATATAGTATGTGGGCTTCATTGTCTGGGCAGCATTCATTGCCCATTGCTATTTGTTCTTGACAAAGGGCTGGTATGCTTACGTTTGAACTGTAGTAGGTTCATCTACAATCCTGTTAGGGAGTTCTGGGATTTTGACCCAGTGACATTGAAGGGGTATATTTCTAAGTAATTGTAATGGTGGCTTGGAGTGGAATTTATAGTTGGTGGTGTATCTGCTTTTTATCACCTTAATGTAAGTGTTGTAGGTTTAGAAGTTGCTGTCTGTGGAGCCTTGGTGAATTTGTGCAATTTTATTTGTAAAACCTAAGTCAGTTACAATTGTAGACTGAGTCTGAGATAGAAAGAGCTAATCTAAAAGCTTACTGCTCCTGGATAGTTACAAACCTCATTCCAGGTATCGGTGTGTTTTCACAAGTTTTACAAAGTTTATTAAGTTAACTATAACAAATGCAAAAGAAATTATACTTAAAGGCAGTGGTTTCAGTTGATATGATATGGGACCCCAGCTTGTGATACTAGTTGACTGGGAACACATCTGTTGTTCTCATCTGTTGACTCATGTTCCCCTTTGTTGGTCTTCTCTTGTGTACCAAATCATAAGAATCAATGCTTATTTTAACCCTCAATAGTCACTACCCTCCATGCATGATCAGAGACATCCTGACTTCTCATTGGCTTGCCTGTGCATAGACACTACATGGCTAATCTCAAATTCATTAAAAAATGTGTGCTCATTTCCTAATTGTCTTAAATTAGTGTTCATCTTTACATATCACAACATCCATTCTTTGACATGCCAATCTTTACAAAGATCACCCCTTTTATCATAGCTGTCCCTCTTAACTTACTAACTTCATAGATTTTTGTCACGATAACGTGACAATGCTGCAATTTATGCGCCTGCTGCGTAGTTATATGATGTTACCCCAGTTGATTTGCTGTCATCCCGAACTTCCCAACTGATGCGTTTAAGTGTTCTCCAGCATCTATTAATATTGTTCATCTACAAGAACCATACCTGTCTACACAATAATTGTTGATATCTAAAACAAATTCACACTCCAAAGAAGCATACAAAACTAATATATGGAGCCCTGTATATTACAATGTAAGCAACTTTAAAACATAACTGAGTCAAAGTCTTTATCCTCAAAAAATGTTTACATTTATTAGCCTAAGCGTGCACTAGCTTGAGCCATAAAACCTTTTGACCTTGGACATAAAGCTGTTCTTGCATTCAGTAAGTGTTAACCACAAATAAATATAAAATAAATTAATTCCTTACTTAATCAAATTAAAGTTATTAAATGTTGAAAAAGAGCTCAAACCTCAAAGATGTCTCTGGATCAGGAACACAGATGTGATGGGTGAAGGGGATGAAAGATTGCTAGGGATATGCAGGAATGTAGAGTTGAGGTTAAAATCAGATTAACCGTGATCTTAATGAATGGCGGAACAGGCTTGAAGGGCCAAGAGGCTTCATCTATGCCTTGTTTCTATGGATTAATGTCAAAATGCAGAAAGACTTCAAGAGATAATGTGATAGACTAAGTTTTATAACATGACATGAGAAGCTTTACCTATGTAGTGTTTTGAATATTGCACTGGTCATTGTTGTGCAATATATTTGTATAGTACATTTTTAAAACCACATTATGATGACTTAATGTTGCTTATAATTTATAAACTAAAATCCAAGTCAGTAAGCCCATGGGTATTCTTACATCTAAACTAATAAAATTTAAGAAACCTATATGCATTAGTTGCTTTGTCAGTTCTGCTGTAAAACATTTAAAATTATTAATTACACTTTTTCATTTACTGTGACCTTGAATAACTGAATTTTCTCATTTGAGTAACTCATACCATGAAATTCAATTAGATTGTCAGGTCCATTGCTGACCTTGGTTTTGTTTTTGAACAAGTAAGGCTTGAAGATGCTTATACATTTAAATGAGATTCACCCGGTTTCATTCTATTAAATCAGCTGTAATTTGTATTTAATATATTTGTGGTGATGTTAAACAAATATCAATTAAGCAAATTCACAAATGGAAGATACAGAAAATAATGTATCCAAGGCAATGGCATTGAAATCAACAATTTTAGGCATGCATTGTCTAAAAGTAATTGCCTCCTGGATTAACAGAAACAAACTTTGGGGTGGCCTGGTGGCACAGTGGTCAGCACTGCTATCTCACAGCGCCTGGGGTTGATTCCAGCCTTGGGTGACTGTGTGGAGTTTGTATGTTCTCCCTATGGCTGTGCAGGTTTCCTCCCATAGTCCAAAGTTGTGCAGATGAGGTGGATTGGCCGTGTTAAATAGTGGCCCATAGTGTCCTGGGATGTGCAGGTTAGTTGGGTTAGCCATGGTAAAAGCTCCATGGAGAATTATGGTGATCTGAGTGGGATACTTTTCGGATGCTCGGTGCAGACTCGATGGACAGAATGGCCTCTTTCTGTACTGTAGGGATTGTATAATTCTAAAATATGTTAATGTGCATTCAATATCCCTGTCCAAAATTTGTTTATTGAATAAATGTCTGATGTTGTTAATGTTTACATTTGAATATTTAGTGCTTTTGAACTATTATCTTATTCTATCTTAAATATCATAAGCACCATTTTTAAATAATATTGTATTTGTTAATGCATCCAAACTAGATGTACATTTTAAAATTATTGTCAATAATAACCGAGGAAGCATTGCCCTTTGAAAATAACTTTTTGAAATTGGAAGATTTTAAAATTGACAGAGTTATCTTGAATGTTTTGTCATTAACTTACCTTGGTTTTGGTGAATTTTACAGTTTAGAAATTTAAGGTAAGGAAACTAGTTAGTAGTGCATTCAATTTCTTGATACGGTAAGGACTTTTATTTCTTCGTTGAATAGTCAAGATTGCAGAAGGAAATCAAATGCACCAGTGTGTGAAATAATTGATCTTCCACCTTTGGTATACATGTAAGATACTCATGCAACATTGAATTGATAAAGGTGAAATAAGTTGCTAATAGAAAATGTACAGTCACTAGGTTTGATGCATATTTTAACTGTGAACTAGTATAACATTATACTAGTTGGATTCCATGAAAACGTTTGCCATTGTTAGTGAATGAATTTTACTTTTAATGCTCCAGGATTCAGAGATGGAATGGATTGAAGCACCTACTGGTTCTGACGATGGCAGCAATGAAAAGCCTTGGAAAATCCAGGAAGAGCAATTAAGTTCTGCAAATAAAGCAGACACTGCTCAGGTATGAAAAGCCTTTCCAGGACCTCAGAATGTTACAATATGGAAACAATTCCATGAGAGGTATCTAATGTCCTTCATAGAAGGAAATCTGTTCTGACTTAGAGTCATAACAGTTGTACAGCATGGAAACAGATCCTTCAGTCCAACTCGTCCATGCCAACCGGATGTCCTACATTAATCTAGTCCCATTTGCCAGCATTTGGTCCATATACCTCTTAACCCTTCCTATTCAGGTACCCATCCAAATGCCTTTTAAATATTGAAATTGTACCAGCCTTCACCACTTCTTCTGGCAGCTCATTCCATACACACACCACCATCTGCGTGAAAAAGTTACCCCTCAGGTCCCTTTTAAATCTTTCCCCTCTCACCTTAAGCCTATGCCCTCTAGTTTTGGACTGCCCTGACCCAGGAAAAAGACCTTGGCTATTCACCCTATCTATGGCTCTTTATGATTTTATAAACTTCTATAAGGTCATCCCTCAGCTTCTGATGTTCCAGGAAAAACAGCCTCTGCCTATCCCGCTTCTTCCTATAGCTCAAATCCTTCAGCCTTGGCAACAACCTTGCAAATCTTTTCTGCACCTTTTCAAGTTTAACAATATCTTTCCTATGGCAGGGAGACCAGAGTTGAACACAGTATTCCAAAAGTGGCCTGACCAATGTCCACAACATGACATCCTAACTCCTATACTGAATGCACCGACCAATAAAGACAAGTGTACCAAGTGCCACCTTCACTATCCTGTTTACCTGTGACTCCACCTTCAGGGTGCTATGAACCTGTACCCCAAGGTCTTTTGTTCGGCAACACTCCCTAGGAACCTATCGTGTATAATTCCTGCCCTGATTTGCCTTCCCAAAATGTAACACTTCACATTTATCTAAATTAAACTCCGTCTGTTATTCCTTGGCCCATCTAATCAAGGTCCCATTGTAGCCTGAGATAACCTTCTTCACCAGTTTTGGTGTCATCTGCGAATGTATTAATCGTTCCTCCTTCAGACAAAGCAATTTGCTTTGACTCTTTGTAAACCTCTGAAAAGGCCTAACAAGCCACTTATTTGTATCAAAACTACTGCAAAAAGCTTTCATTGAGTAGAACAAGATAGACCACCCAAGTTTGGTCATGATGAAGTTATATCCATCCCAGTTAACTCTGAACAGGCAAACACATAACCAGGAGTGGGCTATTCTGAAAAGTCCTCCTCATAACATCTGAAGATCTGCAGTAAAATTGGGAGAGTTGCCTTTCAGAGGAGTCAAGTAATAGCCTGACATAATCATATTCACTTCGAGGAACACGAGCCTATTTGAGCCGTTGACCCTGCTCTGTTATTCATTGAGTTCATGTCTGATCATTTCCATTAACAACATTTTCCCACACTATCCCCATATTTCTTGGTGTCTTTATTATCTAGAAATCTATCAATCTCTGTGTTGAACATGAATGATAACCATCCCAAGCGCATCAGAAAAGCAAGGTGCTGACAGGAAGACAGCTCTTGTAACAGTCTCTATCCTAAGTTTTTGATAAACTAGTAAACTGAAGGCAGACAAGTCAAGACAACTGCATCAAGGCAGCTCCAGGAGATGTAGGAACCAAAGTGAACCATTCAGGCATATCAAGTCTGCTCCACTATTCAATGAGATCATGCCTAATCTCATAATCCTCAACTTCACGTTCTTGCTTTTTCAATTTAACCCTTGATTCCCTTACTGATTAAAAATCTGTCTATCTCACCCTTGAATATACTTAACCACTCAGCCTCATTCCAACAATATTCAAGAAGCTTGAAACCATCTGTTTGATCAGCTAATCTATCAGGTTAACCTTAACCCTTTTCACTGCCAGATCTCTAGGTATTCTGTTAAGCCTTCCACAAGATGCACTATGGCAATTTATCAAGAATGCTTCAACAATCCCTCCCAAATAGTGGGGTCCACTGCAGAGAATCCATCTCGTATTTATTTAATTTATTAACTAGTGTTTCTAACAAGGCCAGCCTTTATTGTCCATTCCAATTGTTCTGGAGATGGTGGTGCTCTATCATTATGGTTTTTTTAACCTAACCGATTGGCTAACACAAGGCTAAATTCAGAGGACAGTTAAGAGTCAATAAATTGATATTAGATAGGAGTCACAAATCAGCCTGAATGGTTAAGGACAGCATATTTCCTTCCTTTAAAAATATTAGATTTGGATTTTTGCACTGAACTGGTACCTTAGTGGGTCACTATTACTGAAATTAACTTTTTATTCCCACTTTATTTAGTTAACTGAATATAAATTGTTTAGTTGAGACTTTGAACTCATTTTTCTGGACTGTTACTGCAGGACTCTAGATTACTTGTTCAGCACATAACTACTATGCCCTGTAACTGTATGCTGCTGTTCTTGTGTTCCTGTTAGTATAATGCCATTGATCATCAAGGCTGAGGTTGGATTATCAAAGAATTTTGGCAGCAGGCCAAATGGTCTTACAGGTTTGAAAATTATCGGTGTTTGTTTGGTCAAGTTGGTTTGAATTAGCATGCTTTTACTGACATAGCCATTGTCTTCAAGAGACTGTACATTCCTTGACTTAGGTGATTAATAATTTTATACTGTATTATATCTTGCCATTATTTGCATACAACTAAATGAAGACAAAGTGACCCATTGTGCTGCTTATAATGTGGCTGAACACTTCTCAATCTTTGCTTAAGGTTTGGTTTGGACAAGTTTGCTATTTGAATCCTGATGCCCCAGTGTCATGCTACAGGCAACAATCAAGGCACTGACCTTCCTCTCTCCCCTAGTTTGCAGATGGTGCAAAAATAGGCAGGAAGGCAAGTGGTGACGATGGCACCAAAGTTATATAGACAGATTACATAAGTCAGCAAAAACTTGACGGAAGGAATACAATGAGTAAAAATGTGAGGTAATACACTTTGGCAGGGAGAATAGGAAAGCTGAATATTATTTAAATAGGGGAAACCCACAGATAACTCCTGCACAGACGGATTTGGGACTTTCAATGCATTAATCGGACAAAGTTAGCATAGAATTTCAGCAGGTAATAGCGAGGCAAATGGCCTTTATTTTAGAGGAAATGGGCTATAGGGAAGTTTTGCTAAAGTTATATTGAACGTTGATGATATCACACCTAGAATACTGTGAATAGTTTTGCTCCCATTATTTAAGGAAAGATATACTGGCATTGGAGACAGTCCAGAGGAGGTTCACCATGTTGATCCTGGGTATGAAGTAACTGTCTTACAAGGAGAGGTTGAGTAAGTCAGGCTGCACTTATTGGAATTTAGAAAAACGAGAGACAACTTTATTGAAACATAGAAGATTCTCAGAAGACTTCACAGCGTAGATGTGGTAAAGTTGTTTCCCTTTGTGAGAGAGTTTAGAACCAAAATCTTAAGGAATGGGGTCATCTATTTAGGCAGAATTGAGAAGGAATTTCTTCCCTTAGTGCATAGTGTATCTGTGTCGTTCTTGACTGGAGAAGCTGGATCATTATATTTATTCAAGGCTAAGATTGACAGATTTTTAATCTGGAAGGGAATAATCAAGGGTTGAGAAGAAATGGCAGGAGAATGGAATTGAAGATTATGAGATCAGCCATGATTTCATTGAGCAGAGCAGACTCCATTGTCCAAATGACCTACTTTTGCCCCTCTCACTCTCTTCCCTCCCTCCCTCTGCTCTCTCCTCCCTCTCTCTGTTTCCCCCCTCTTTCTGTCTCTCTCTTTTTCTCTCTCTCTTCACCCGCTTCCCCTCTCCTCCTTCCTTGCTCTTCTCTCTCTGCTTTTCCCTGCCCCACACCTCACCAACCCCCATCGTCTGATTCTCAGTCTCTCAGAAGACAACACCTGGTGAAAAAACAACTTGATGGAATAGCCATTCACTGGAAGCTCAAAAACACGTACACACTTTGCTATTGCAAAGGATACAGGTCAACAATTAAAGAATTGTACTTTTGAGTTAAAAACCTAACACCTCAAAGATTTAAAGTGCATAGTCTTTATTCTTTCTCTGTGTATGACATGCTCTCCTTTTTAAACTTGCTACCAGTGTTTGTGTGTGAGATTGATGTTGTATTTTATTATTTTTCTTGGGGTTGGTAGTAATGAATTTTGCCTTTAATTTAAGAAAACTTTGTAATTGACTGCTTCATTTTACTCTAGTTCACCACATTTTTGTTTGACATGATTTATATCCATGCCAGAAATCAACCAAAATCTTTGTTATTGCTAACTGAAAAGGGGAGAAAAGAAGGTACCTAACTTACCACTCCTCACTTAATCATAATTGTGGTAGCTGCATAAATTAAAATTTTTCAATGTATTTGTTCTATGCTAGAGGGAAGAATGGATGATGTTAGACTTCATGTCTTTAAAGACCGTTTCCACGGCAGCAATCAGAGCTGAAAAATTGAAGGAGAAAGAAATGGAACATGAGAAGGTGCAAGCTATGGAACAGGTAATATGAAAACATGAAAGCAAAAAAAAAGTTAACATGAAATAATATATTTAAGTAGTCAAGAAATTATAAGATACATTATTTTGCAAAGTAGCAGTATTGTACTCTTTAATGTATTGTGTTGTAGCAGGGCACACCATTTTACATAAGATTTTCTCGAGGGCCTTTTTGATGTTCTTAATTAATGTAGAAACTAATACTCATGGTCATAGAGTCAGAGTTTTTACAGCACAGCCTGTTGTGTCTGTGCTAGTCATCTGGCATCTATCTTTTCTAATCCCACTTTCAAGCAGTTGGGCTGCAGCCTTGTCTGCTATGGAATTTCAAGTGTAACACCCTTTTAGGCAGTGAGTACCGATACCTACCACCAATTTGGGGGTGTGGCAAACTGAGGATGATATCATTTGACTGTATTAGGACATGGATAGTCCAGCACAAGAGTATTGAAAAATTTTGTTTGGGTGACATTTCAATTCTTTGTCATTCACATGCCAGGGAGCAAATTTTGCAAAGGTAAGACTTTGGAAATTTATTTTGCTATTCTCAAACAAAACAAAATGTACAATTTTATCAAGATGCTTCAATAGCGAGACCAATTTATTAGCTCACTTCCTATAGTAATGAACTTACTATATCCTCTCTAGTAGATTTTCTTGTAAGAAAAATTACATTTTGCACTAAATGATAAATATTTTCTTATTTTAAATTGAAACTAACCCACACTTACAAATATGCAGCATGAAGCATATAATAGGCGAGTGAAATACTGCAGATGCTGGAAATCTGAAATATAATCAGAAAATGCTTGAAGTAGTCAAGCCAGAAAGCATTTGTGGAGAATTTGTCCATTTACAAACAATCCCTTTCAAATGTTGACTTTCCCCCTAGTCTCCCCACATTTGGAGATTTTAACACTATGGAATTCGTTGCTTAAGGTCCTTCCTCTCTGTTGTACCTTAGACTGATAAACAGTTGATGCAAGCTCCTTAGCAAGCCTTGGCATCCAGATTCTTGTACTTTAATAGGCGTCTGGCACGTGCACGAGAAGACGAGGTATGACCTAAGATTTGACCACAATACCCAGAATACATGGGTGGCTGTGAGATGTGAAGCAACTTAGCATCATACCTGCTTGTTAAATCACAGGTGTTTTCTCTCCTGCATTTGCTGTTGATTGCTCTCACTCACTAGTGATCTTAATGCAGAGGTGAAGCTACCTGATATTGGACAATCAGTTTCTTGCAGAATTAGTGAATTCTACTCACCTGTATTTTCAACACCAGTCCAATAGCCAGATCAAAACCCTTGATGGGCCATATGGTGGACAGTGTTATAGGATGAGCAGACAAATGGAATTTAAGACTGAAAATTGTGTGGTGATGCATTTTGGTAGAAGGGACAGATGGAGACAATATTGATTTATTGTTCTGTGTTCTCTAGAGTTTTGAAAAATGAGAGGTGATCTCATTGCAACCTACAAAATACCTTAAAGGGATAGATAACATAAGACCATAAGGTGTAGGGGTAGAAGTAGCCATTCAGCTCATCGAGTCTCTCCAACATTCAATGAGATCATGCCTGATCTGATAATCCTCAACTTTACTTTCCTGCCTTTTCCACATAACCTTGATTCCCTCACTAATTAAAAATCTTTCTGTCTCAGCCTTGAATGCACTTAATGATCCAGCCTTAGCCGCCTCTGCAGTAAAGAATTACGTGGAATCACACTACCTTCAGAAAAAATTCCGCCTCATCTCATGGAAACGTAGAAAATAGGAGCAGGAGTAGGCCATTCAGCCCTTCAAGCCCATTCCTACAATTCAATGTTGTCACGCCTGATCAATAAACTCAGTATCCTGTTTCCACTTTCTCCTCTATGTCTTAACAGAGTGATATTCTTTGATTCTGGACTTTCTTATAAAGGAAAACAACTTTTCTGCATCTATGCTGTCAAATCCTCTAAGAATCTTTTATGTTTCAACAAGGTCACCTCTTGTAGTTCTAAACTGATATGACTAAAGGCCCAACCTGCTGCTCCTGATACGATAGTTCCTCCATCTCTGTTATCACCCTAAATGAAACTTCTCTGGGCTGCCTCCAATGCTAACATAATTTTCCTTAGAAAAGACGCCCAAACCTGTTCACAGTATTCCAGCTCTGGCTGACTAGTGCCTTATATAGTTTTAAATTCCATTCCCTTTGAAATAAAGGCCAATGTTTCATTTGCCTCCCCTGTTACCTGCTGCACTTGTGTGTTAGATTTTTGTGATCGATGCCCAACTTCCAGATCCCTCTTCTGTAGTTTTCTGCAGTGTTGCTCCATTTAAATAATCAGTTCTCCATTGTTCCCACCGAAGTGCCTAACATCACATTTACCCGCATTATATTTCATTAGTAAAGTTTGACCTGATGTAGGTACAATGTTTCTGCTGGTTAGAGTGTCTAGAACAAGGTGTTACAATTTGGGAATAAGAGGAATGGCAATTAGGTCTGAGGTGAGGAGAAATGCTTTTACTTAGACGGCTGTGAAACTTAGGAATTCCGTGCCACATAGTGCTATGGAAGCACATTCTTTGAGTATGTTTAAGGTAGAGATTGATAGATTTCTGACTACCAATGGTGCAAAGGGCTTCAGGGATGGGTTGGTTAAAAGGCAATGAGGTATTAAATCAGCCATCATTGAATTGAATAGTGGGCAGGCTCGGTGGGCTGAACTGTCTACTCTGGTTGCTACGTTGTTATGTGAAAGGTTTAAGGCTTTGGACAAGTGCAGAGCGGATGTCAGGAGAAACTTTGTCTTTAATTGTAGTGAGTAGTAATAATGTGGAACTTGTTATCTGCAGGTGGAGATGATCAAAGGAATTTGGATATTTACTTGAATGAAACAAATTTGCAAGGCTATGATAGAATGGGTGATGCAATTCACTGAATTGATCTCTAGAGAACTGGGATAGGCTTGATGGGCTAATGAATGTGTCCTAATGAATTTGATGCTGTTTGAATTCCCCACCTAGCTTTTTTTTTTTAATTATTTATTCATTTTGTGGGATGTGGGCATTGCTGGCTGGCCAGCATTTATTGCTCATCCCTAGTTGCCCTTGAAAAGATGGTGGTGAGCTACCTTCTTGAACTGCTGCAGTCCATCTGCTGTGGATTGACACACAATGCCAATAGGGAGGGAATTCCAGAATTTTGACCCAGTGATAGTGAGGGAATGACTATATTTCCAAGTCAGGATGGTGAGTTGTTTGGAGGGAAACTTGAAGGTGGTAGTGTACCCATAATACCGTTGCCCTTATCCTTCTAGATGGAAGAGGTCGTGGGTTTGGAAGGTGCTGTCTGAGAATCCTTGGTGAATTTCTGCAGTGCATCTTGTAGAAAATACTCACTGCTGCTACTGAGCATTGGTGGTGGAGGGAGTAGATGCTTGTGGATGCAGTGCCAGTCAAGTGGGCTGCTTTGTCCTGGATGGTGTCAAGCTTCTTCAGTGTTGTTGGGGATGTACTCATCCTAGCAAGTGGGGAGTATTCCAGCATACTCCTAACTTGTTGATGGTGGACAGGCTTTTGGGAGTCAGGAGATGAGTTACTGGCCACAGCATTCCTAGCCTCTGACCTGCTCTTGTAGCCACTGCATTTATGTGCTGAGTCCATATGAGTTTCTGATCTTGATAACTCCCAGAATGTTGATAGTGGGTGAATTCGGTGAAGGTAACACCATTGAACATCAAAGGGCGGTGGTTAAATTGTCTGTTACTGGTGATGGTCATAGCCTGGCTTTTGTATGGCACAAATGTTACTTGCCACTTCTCAGCCCAAGCCTGGATATTGTCCAGATCTTGTTGCTTTTGGACACAGACTGCTTCAGTGTCTGAGGAGTTGTGAATGGTGCTGAACATTGTGCAATCATTGGTGAACATCCCCGTTTCGCACCTTATGATGGAGGGAAAGTCATTGATGAAGCAATTGGAGAGTTTGCCCCTGATACCCATTGATTCCAGTTTTGCTTGGGTTCCTTGATGCCACACTCAGTCAAAAGCAGCCTTGATGTCAAGGGCTGTCACTCTCACCTCACCTCTGGAATTTAGCTCTTTTTTTTCCCATGTTTGAACTAAGGCTGTAATGAGATCAGGAGCTGGGTGGCCCTGATGGAACCCAAACTGGGCATCGCTGAGCAGGTGTTGCTTGATAGCACTATTAATGACACCTTCCATCATTTTACTGATGTTCGAGAGTAGACTGATGGGGTAGTAATTGGCTGGTTTGGATTTTTCCTGCTTTTTATGTACAGGACATACTTGGGCAGTTTTCCACATTGCCGGGTAGCTACCAGTGTTGTAACTTTACTGGAACAGCTTGGCTAGGGGAGCAGCATGTTTTGGAGCACAAGTCTTCAACACACTATTACCAGAATGCTGTCAGGCCCCGGAGCCTTTGCTGTATCCAGTGCCTCCAACCATTTCTTGATGTCACATGGAGTGAATGGAATTGGCTGAAGACTGGTATCTGTAATGCTGTGGACTTCTGGAGGAGGCCGAGATGTATCATCCAGTTGGCACTTCTGACTGAAGATTTCTGTGAATGCTTCAGCCTTATCTTTTGTACTGATGTGCTGGGCTCCTCCATCATTGAGGATGGGGATATTGCAGGAGCCGCCTCCTCCAGTGAATTGTTGAATCGTCTACCACCATTCATGACTAGATATGGCAGGACTGCAGAACTTAGATCTGATCTGTTGGTTGTGGGATCGCTTAGCTCTGTTTATCACTTGCTGCTTATGCTGTTTGGCGTACAAGTAGTCCTGTTTAGTGGCTTCACTAGGTTGACACCTCATCTTCACGTATGCCTGGTCCTGCTCCTGGCCTGCTCTCCTGCACTCTCCATTGAACCAGCGTTGATCCCCGGCTTGATGGTAATGGTTGAGTGGGGGATATGCCAGGCCATGAGGTTACAGATTTGTGCTGGAGTACAATTCTGCTGTTGATGGTCCATAGCGCCTTATGGATGCCCAGTCTTGAGTTCTAGATCTGTGCGAAGTCTGTCCGATTTAGCATGGTGATAGTGCCACACAACACGATGGAGATTATTCACAGTGTGAAGGCAGGATTTCGTTTCCACAAGGACTGTGTGGTGGTTGCTCGTACCAATACTGTCATAGACAGATGCATCTGCAGCTGGTAGAAGGGTAAGGCTGAGGTCAAGTATGTTTTTCCCCCATTGGTCCCCTCACCAGCTGCTGCAGTCTAGAAGCTATGTCCTTTAGGATCCGACTAGCTCGATCTGTAGTACTGCTGCCAAGCCAGTCTTGGTGGTGGACATTGAAATCCCCCACCCAGAGTACATTTTATGCCCTTGCCATCCTCAGTGCTTCACCTAAGAGTTGTTCAACATGGAGGAGTACTGATTCATCAGCCGAGGGAGGCCAGTACACGGTAATCAGCAGGAGGTTTCCTTGACAACAAGGTGCAGGGCTGGATGAACACAGCAGGCCAAGCAGCATCATAGGAGCAGAGAGTTTCCTTGCCTGTGTTTAACCTAAAGCCATGACACTTCATGGGGTCTGGAGTCAATTTTGAGGACTCCGAGGATAACTCCCTCCGGACTGTATACCACTGTGCTGCCACCTCTGCTGGGTCTGTTCTGTTGGTGAGATATGACATATCCAGGGATAGTGATGATGGTTTCTGGGGCATTGTCTGTAAGATATGATTCCATGAGTGATTCTATGAAACAGTTCTCCCAATTTTGGCAGTAGCCCCCAGATGTTAGTGAGGAAGACTTTGCAGGGTCGCCAGGGCAGTTTCCGTTGTTGTCTTTTCCGGTGCCTTGGTTGATGCCAGGTGATTCATCTGGTTTCATTTCTTTGAGACTTTGTAATGATTGGTACAACTGAGTGGCTTGCTAGGCCATTTGAGCGGGCAATTGAGAGTCAACCACATTGCTGTGGTTCTGGAGTCACATGTAGGCAGACCAAATTCCTTCTCTGAAGGATATTAGTGACCTAGATGGATTTTTTTGACAATCGACAATGATTTCCTGGTCATCAGTAGATCCTTAATTCCAGATTGTTATTATTGAATTCAAATTCCACTGTCTGCTGTTGTGGGAGTCATATCTAGGTCTCAGGATTAATAGTCTGGTGACAATACCACTAGGCCATTGCCTTTCCTTTATAACAATACTTATAGATCTGCTAAAATAAAGTGCAAGTTTTAAATCTGTAGCAGGAGGAACTGAAACTTCTGCACAGGTTTTTTTCTTTGAGTATGAATGCAACAAACTTTCAAAAATTATTCTCAAATATACTCTATGGACAAAGAAATTGTTATTTTATTTTGTATGCTGCAGTGTATGTAATTTCTTTCATTGCTTTCTTCAATTATAGGCTGAGATAAACAAAAGAGAACTGAATCCCTATTGGAAAGATGGAGGTTCTGGCTTGCCATCTGAGGAAGGTGATTCAATCCCAGTTCAAAAAGGTAAATGTAAAGTAAAAATTGTTTTAGTGTTGTGATTCATTTTGCTTTTATTTCAGTTTTATTCGTTATTTGTCATTAAGTGTCATCACACTTCTTGCTTATTTGAAATAAATTGTGAATAAATTGTGGCCTTGCCAGCAGCTTCAATAACAGATTTGTTTTCATAACCTGGACTGAAAGGTGCATTTTCTATTGATAATTTAAGTTGTCTTGTTCCTCAGATGTCTGATTCTAGCCAGTGTGAGGTATTGTATGGATTGGTTCAGGACAGAGGCCAGTAAATATTGCAGGAAACTGTTGATGTAGGATCAAACATTTAACATAACCTTAGTTTGTGGTTGCTAAGTCTTCAGCAATGCTAAGAGGTTGTTAAAGAGAACTGTAGAAACTAGGAGCAGGAGTAAACCACTTGGAGCTTTGAGCTAGCTGTGACATTCAATATGATCATGACTTATCCTCTTTCTCTCCATTTTATAGAAAATAACTGTAGGCCAATAAACCCTTCAAGCCTGCTGTGGGAATCAATATAATCATGTCTGATCATCGAGCTCTTTACCCTAATCCCACCCTCCCTCCATATCTCTTAATCCCTTCCACCACAAGAACTGTATCTACCTTCTTCTTGAAAACAGATAAAGTTTTTGCCTCACCCACTTTCTGTGATGTGAATTCCATAAGCTCACCAGTCTCTGGGTGAAGAAATCTTTCCTCCTTTTGGTCCTGAAAAGTTTACCCATCATTCTTAAACTATGACTCGATTCTGGAGTCCCCCACCATGGGAGGGCATCCTTTCTGCATTTAACCTAGTCCTGTTAGAATTTCGTAGGCTTCCATGAGATCCTCCCCTCATTATTCTAAACTCCCGTGAATACAATCCTGACCAATTCAATCTATCAAATGTCAATCTTGCCATTCCAGGAATCAGTTTAGTAAACCTTTGCTACACTCCATCCAGTTCAAGAGCATCCTTCCTTGGATAAAGAAACCAAAATTGCAATATTCCTATTCTTCCCATATCTCTGGATAACTTTAATTTCTAAAAAAATTATTGATTTCTTTCTTAAATATATTCAATGATACGAACTTCACAACCTTCTGTGGTAGGTAATTCCACAGGTTCACTACTTTTTGAGTGAAGAAATTTTCCTTCATCTCAGTCCTAAATGGCCTGCGCCACATCTTGAAACTGTGACACCGGTTCGAGTCTTGCCAACTAGGGAAAACATTCTCCTTGTATCTAGTCTCTCCAGCCCTGTTAAAATGTTATATGTTTCAATGAGATCTTGTCATCCTTCTAAATAGAGTTATGTCGTCAGCACACTTGGAAATGTTGCATTTGGTTTCCTCGTCCAGATCATTTTATATATGCTGGGACCCACACATTGATCCTTGTGGTCCACTAGTCACTGTCTACTAACAGGAAAAAGATCATTCCTTCCCACTCTGTTTTGTTTCTGTCGACCAATTCTTAGTCCGTGCCAATATATTACCCCCAGTCCAATATACATTAATTTTGTCCATTAACTTCTTAGGTGGACATTATTAAAGTCTTCTGAAAATCCAGATATATCACATTGACTGATTCTCCTTTATCAATTCTACCACTTACTTCTTCAAGTAACTCTGGTAGATTTGTTAAGCATGATTTACCTTTCATAAACCTTTGCTGGCTTGGTGCAATCCCATTAACGCTTTCCTAGTGTTCTGTTATCACATCTTTTATAACTGGCTCTAGCAGTTTCCGTAGTACTGATGTTAAGCTAACTGGTCTCCAATTATCTCTATTTTTTTTCTCTCCCTTCTGTTTTAAATAGTGGAGTTACATTTGCCACCCTCCAATGTGTAGGAGTTTACAGAATTTTGGAAGATGACCATCAGTGCATTCAATACTCCCAGTTTAGCACTCTGGGATGTGGATTATCAGACCCTGGAGATTTGACAACCTTTAACCCCAAAACTTTCCTTGCGCCATGTTCTTACTAGTGCTGATTTTCTTCAATTCTGCCCTGTCATTAGACCTTCGATTTTCTGACATTTCTGGGAGATTATTTGCGAAGGTAGAACCAAATTGTGTGTTCAGTTCGTCTGCCATTTATTTATTTATTCATTCCCCATTATCATTTCTGATGCTTCTGACGGTAATGAACTTATATTTGTCTATAAGATCATAAGACATAGGAGCTGAAGTAGGCTATTCAGCCTATTGAGTCTGCTCTGCCATACAGTGAGATTAGGGCTGATCTCAAATCCTCAACTCCACTTTTTTTCTCCTCCATAACCCTTGATTGTCTTACTGATTAAAAATCTGTCTATCTCAGCGTTGAATATACTTGATGATCCAACCCCGTCAGTCCTTTGCGGTAAAAGAAGGTCAAATCCACAGATTTGCTATTCTTGCAGAGATGAAATTCCTGTTCATCACATTATAGGAATATGTGATTGCAATGGAGGTGGTGCAGAAGGTGAGGTGATGATTTACTCGGATGTTGCCTGGGCTGGAGAATCTTCTTTATAAAGAGAGATTGGATTGAGAGACTGGGATTGTTATCGTTGGAGCAGAGGAGATGGAGGAGGGAACATGATTGAGATGTATAAAGTTATCAGTTAGACAGGATGGAACCTTTTACATTATTTGAGGGATGAATGATGGGGGCATAGAATTAAGGTAACGAACAGGACGTTTTTTAGGAGATGTAAAGAGAAACTCTTTTCAACCAGAGGATGATGGGAACCTTCAGCTCACTGCCTGTAGGGTGGTAGAGGCAGAAACCCTCATAACATTTAAGAAGTATTTAGATGTGCAGTTGCAATGCAAAAGCATACAAAGCTACAGGCTTAGTGCTGGAAGATGAGGTTAGAATAGTTAGGTGCTTATTTTTGGCACAGACTAGAGGGGCAGATGTGCCTTTTCCTGTGCTTTGGACCTCGATGACTCTATGACATTGTCTTAAACTCCTTATTCTGACATTTTGGTCTCTGGCCCTAGACTCACCCACAAGCGGCAGTGCCCTTTCCACATCAATCCTATCAAGTCCCCAAAGCACCCTGAAAGTTTCAATAAGTTGCCTCTCATTCTTGTGTATTCCAATGAGTACAGGTCTAACCTGCTGAATGTCTCCCCATAAAACTGTCCGTCCATTTCTGGTATCAACGTCCTGAGCCTTTTCTGGGCTGTCTCCAATGCCGGTGTATCTTTCGTTGATATGGTGCCAAAACCTGTTTGCAGTATTCCAGTTCTTGTCTGATGAGTGCCTTGTATAAGTTTTAGCAAAGCATTCCTATTTTTATACTCCATTCCCTTTGAAATACATGTCAACTTAGCATATTACTCGCTGAGCTTGTACGCCAGCTTTTTGTGATTCATGGACAAGGACTCCTAAATCCTTTCTTCATTTAAATCATATTCACTCCTCTATTATTCCAGCCAAAATGTATAGCCTCATATTTCCCCACAATATATTCCATCTGCCAAGATGAAGAGCTTCAGCAAAATGGTTTTGCCCACTCACTCAAACTGTCTACATCTCTCTGCCATGTCTTTGTGTCATCCTAACCACTTACCTTCCCACCTATTTTGTGTCATCCACAAACTTGGCTGTGGTACATTCACTTTCCTCATCTAAGTCATTATGATGTATCATAAATGATTGTGGCCCTAGCACTGATCCTTGTGGTACATGACCAGTTACAGTTGCCACCCTTTATCTCAATTCTCTGCCCTTTATTAGTTAGGCAGTACTCTACCCATGCTAATATATACTACCTCCAGCACCACGGGCTGTTACATGATTAAGCGGCCTAATATGTGGTACGTTACCAAATATCTTCTAAAAATCCATTTGCATGCACTTCTGCCATAATGAAATAATTGTCAGTGTTGGGAGGTCATGCTTAACTAACCTAATAGAATACTTTGAAAAAGCGATCGGAATAGTAGATGAAAGGTTAGAGATGTTTTATACTTGGGTTTTAAACTTTTACATACCTTAAGGTTTTTGTGAAGGATTACACACGTTGAAACCTTTTCTTTAGAAAATATTAAACTTAGAAGTGAGTTGACAGAAATCTTGAAAGGTTCACAATAAATTGAATAAGGCAAATATGGCAAGAATGTTTCCACTTAGGAGAGAATCCAAAACTTCAGCCATAACTGTGAGAGAGCTGCAAATAAGTCCAATAGCTAAAAAAGGAGAAATAGTTAGGAAGTGTGTTAGAATATGGAACTTAGTACCACAAAAGGTTGTTGAGGAAAATGGCTTACATACTTTCAGAAGGCATGTCAATGAATACATGTAAGAAAAGGGTTTGCAATGATATCCTGAATGGCTAAGATGAGATTGACTCATGATATATAAACACCAGCACAGAATAATTGAGTTAAATGGCTTGTATATATGCTTTATGTTCTACACAAGTCTATGTAAACTGTTGCCTTACTAAGAAATTTTAAAAAAACAGAATAGTCAGGTAATTAATTTTGCCCTTTTTATTTCATTTTATATTCTGAAAATGGTTTGATTTTAAGTCTCCATTTATGCACTGTTGTACCTAAACTTAGATACCTCCAGTCAAATGGGCTATTAAATCTTTTGAAATTTCTCTGTTTTGCTTTTTTTTTGTATAAATAAACAGCTACAAAGCTAGATGTAATGATATAAATGTTTTTGACTGCGTAATTCTAAAGATCTAAAATGTGTAAAACTCTGGATTATCCTATTTTGCAGCTGTCCACTGTATTATTATGCTTAAGTTTGTAAAGATTTTACTAGGAAATATAATATAAAAGCTCTTAATTGTAATGTTTAGTTTGTAGAAACATTGAAATGTAGACACTGTTTTACAATGGATTAATAGACTGTTTTATCTCCTGAGGCGTTGCGTTTGTATCCAGCCCAGTCAGACATGACGAATGTTTGTAGTCACCGGACTGTAGCAATAATAATTTAAGTAAATTCATCCCAGCTCCTAGTTTTATATTTATTAATATTAATAAATTAGTACCTTAAACCGAAGTGAGGTTACCAAATATCACTGCTACCTCCAGCTGTAAATTAAAGGATTATTGAAGTTTGAGTGTGAAGACACAAGGTTCTGGAAACATGATCTCTTGACCTATCCCACAAACCTTTGGTTTTAACATGATTGATTCATTTTATAGCCTCCTGTTATTCTGTCTTAAAAGTTCAAAAGTTTTCTTCCTGAAATAACCTCATATTTTATGTATAAGGACAAAGGAAAGTTAGACAAAGTGTTAAAGAAGAAACAGAAACTAATCCTTCCACCCATAAATTTTTTTCTCCATTTTCTAGTCCTAAGTGTCCGTCTCCATGTTAGAAGATTGATTTAAGACTCATTCCAATGTTTCTAACATGCCACATTAAAATTATGCTTTTAGGAATGGTGGTAGTGTGAATTCCTACTTGTTTATGAGATTTGTTTTCAAATAGTTGCTTGATATGATATAATGTGCGTATTACTCAACAAAGGCATTTTGTTGAAGCTTTTCATCTTGCACTTGTCAGGATAATTTGCAAGAAATACCAGTGTAAAGCAAAATAGGATTCAGACCAAAGGAGCAGACATACTTATTGTTAGCAAATGGATTTTGGTGGAGACATAACCATGGACAGATCATTTGTAGACAGAAAGAACACTTGTTTTAACCCAGATGACAGCTATTCTCTGGTTTATTTCTCAAGGCATTGTCTTGACCAATCAGAATCAAACTGCCTGGTTTAAAACTTAAATGTGTTTAGCCATTAACTGTTAGTGATTATCCAACCAGTGCATTCTTCCATGCCAAATAGCTTTGACACAATGTGGCCTTTTTCAGCAATACTCAAAGTCTGTATTCTTAAAGTGTTCACTTTTGTCTTTTTTCATTTTATACTCTATGACTGGTATACAGACTGAATGGGCCATGAGGAGCTAGCCCAAGATGACTTATGCTTGATGACCGTCAGATCTCTGAAGATGGCAGGGCAGGTTAACTGGGTAACTAAGAAAGCATATGGGCTGCTTGCCTTTATCAGTTGTTGCATCTATTATAAGAGCAGGGAGGTTCATTAAAATAAACAAGTGAAATTTGTGCTTAGTGATCACACAAGTGGAAATTTTAGTTGATGGTACAGAAACATCAAATCCTCATCATTAATTTGAGTGGACAACAGGTAAGCTTTAGAGGGTAAATTAAGCTTCCTTACGGAACAGACTTAGGTTAGAATTGTGGAAACAATATCATTTTTCTAAAATAAATTTTGGACACAAGTATGACTATTTTGTCACCCCAAACCCAGAAGTGACTTATTTAAAATAAAAGTCTTAAACATTTTTCTTAACTACCACTCAAAATGTACATGCTTGTTGATTTATAAACATGAAGAATTCTCCATTTTCTGGGACGGAATACCAGAGCAACAATGTTGATGGTGGGTTGTGCAGGAATACAAGACAAATCAGTAAAGGTTATGCATGGTATTGAAATTTATTTTGATGGATTTTATATATTGAATTTGAACAGGCTTTCCAACAAAATTATCAGCTTTAATGAGTTTTTGATGCTTAAGAAGTAGAAGTTAATATTTTTCTGCTGTATATGACCATACAGAAAAGCAGTAGGTTTGACGACAAGAACATCAAATCAAGAGTAAATTATCGAAAGGTGAAGCGGTGAATAGGTATAATTTCGTTAATTTTTTGAATAGGCTATAAATGTGTAATAGTACTTAAATTGTAAACTTTGAGAAAATAGTTTACGTCACCCCATGATTAGAAATTTAATGTGAAGTATCATTTTAGAATGTTCATTGCTTTTAAAACAATCCAGGCTAGCAGCATAGAGCACTTATGACTGTGTAACACAGACGTTGTGGGGAAAGGTTGTTTCTGTACAAACGTACGTTGACACGTGTACAACTCTGTGAAATTTTAGACATCAGAATGATTAAAAAGTTCAGTTCGTAAAGTAGACTTGCATTAATTACAGTTTTAAGCATGAGTAGTTTCAGATTATCTCCACAAGATGTTCTCAGAACTCAGATTTTGGAATTACATTGGCTGTTTTTGCACATTTTGCATCAGAAAAAAGCAGGGAATATTTCACAGCAGCACAACGTTTGTATTTTAATTTTGCTGTAAATCATGTTGGAATGGGAATGATCTCTTTGTTGCTTCACTAATTTCTCATTATTTTCCAATTTAGTTCAGATACAGTTCTTTATGCTTCTGTTTTCAACTGCCTTTATGTAGTAAGGAAGCAAACTCTGATAAGTGATGGTGTAGCAAATAGCAGATACATATAACAAACAATCATAAAAACATCTATTATAAAATGGAATGTGATAGTTCATGAACGTGATATTTTCTGTTCTAGAGGAATGGTATAAAATGAGGTGGGATGTGTACAAGACCTGTGAAAGAAAGGTTCAGTAAGAATAGTAAACAGCATGTGAACAAGACTACAGATGGAGCATTTGGTTAGATATTAGAATCAGTATTCTGTTTCTGATCCTGAATTTGTATAATCAAATACACGTACTGATTGCTCCAATTAATGCCAAATTGCTGAAGGCTACCAAGTTGGTATCGTGACGTTTGGTTCAATGTAGTTTTCAAAAGTAAACATTTATTTTAAAATGCTAAGATTGTGGGAGCCAATTATGCATTTATGAGAATCGTAAAAGATTGTTTATTCTTTCATGGGATGTGGGCATCACTGGAAAGCGAAATTTGTTGTCCATCCCTAAAAGCCCTTGAACTGAATGACTTATTAGACTACAGTATTTGAGAGGGCTGTTCAAGGCCAAGCACATTACTGTGGATCTCGAATCACATAGAGGCCAGACTAAGTAAGTTGGCAGATTTTCTTTCCTAAAGGACATTAATGGTCACCATTATTGAGGCTAGATAGATTTAATAAAATTTAAATTCCACAGGATGCTATGAGATTTGAAACTGTGTGCCTGTAGCATTAACTTGCACCTCCATTAGTCCTGTGACTCTGCTGTTGTGAAGACATCTCTCCTTTTCTATGTAATGCTGTGCACCACATTGGTTGAGTGGAATATTCTTGCATATCTGTAACAGCATCCCACTTCAGAAATAACTCTACGATTGGAAATTTGCCGTGCTGCTGACTTGCCAGCTGTCAGCTAGTTTATTAAATCATTTCCAAAAAATCTTTAGATAAAATAAATTTCAGGATGGTGTAACACTAGATATAAAAGTGATTTGAATAGTTAACCATCAAGTTTTGGAAAATATTTAGGTTCACATTATTTGAACTGTGTCTCAAGATTTTTAACCATTTTGCAGAGTAATTTGGAAAAAAAATCCTTTTGAATGTTCAGTTTCTAGTTCTTGGTGTGGTTAGTTTTTAAAAAGGCACTAGAATAGCTGGTAAAGTTGTGAATGGAAAAAGAAAGAACTGCATTTGTATAGTGTTCTTTATGACCACCAGACATTTCAACTTTTCATAACCAGTGAAATATTTTTTGAAGTGTATTCAGTATTCTGGAAAGCATGACATTTACTTTGCACTCAACTATTTCTCACAAAGGGCAAAATTATCATGACCAGTTACCTTGTCTTTTTGGTGAGATTAATTGAGACCAAAATAACAGTGATAACAAGCCCTGGATTTCTCTGAAATGGTTTAGCTGAAAGATCATATGTTGACAATATAATACACTCCCGGTATTGCACTTCAGTGTCAACCTTCAGTTTTTTTTTGTGCTTGAGCTCTTGAATGGGTATAAACCAGAGGTGTGTGTGCGACCAACCGAGTCATGCGTGATACACTAAAATTTTAAGATTTCAGGATAGATTGTAAATGTATAAAGTCTTTAGTTTGTCTTGACAATTGATAATCTCCACACTTCTGTTTCGTATTTTCTGTGTTCTTTCTGCAAAGAAATAAAAATTAAATAGCAAAAATGGGTTAGTTAAGAGATACTTAATTAAGCAAAATGATTCCATTCTATGGGCAAAGGGTGGCCTGTTAAATTTTTAGTACTACTACACAGCAGCTATTTTTTTTTTTGAAAGACTGCAAATTTTAATAAAATGGTTGTATCTCTGATCAAAGCCTGTTGATAAAGTAGACCTGAAAACAACTATTCCTTGTTTTAGAGATTATTGACTAAACAGACACACAGCTCGTACCACCCATTCCCCTGCCTTAGTTAATCAGCATGTTTGAATATATTATGACACTTCCAGAGCATTTATTTTCAGACGGGACTTGAACTAGAGCTAGGGACACTTTCACAATATCCTATGTTACCCCTTCGTACTTACACAGTATGTTAGTGAATTTTGTCAGCAGGTTAACTTTTGCTGTACTGATGTAACCATGGTCTGTTTTGTAAATCTTTGAACTTTAAAGCTTATTCCTAAAATTTTTCAACGAATAGCTATTATGATTGAAGATGGTGGGCTGAGCTGGCTGAAAAAATCCTATCAGCGTATGAAGGAACAGGCTGAGAGAGAGCAATGCTGTCTGGAAGATGTAATTGCTGCAAGATACGGGGTAAGGACTTTTTAAATCAAGTTGCTGAAATTAGTTGAATTGCTACTATCTGTTAAACTTCAACTTACACTTGCCAAACTTTTAATATGCCTTTGATTTCTCCATGTTTGGATATGATGCCATATTTCTGTAGATACCTTCCCAGTAAAGTGAAGTTAAAGCTAGTAATTTGACCTTATGCACCACCTTACATTTGACAGATTGTGTTAACTATATTTGAATTTCCCCTTAAGCTTTCTAATACTTAATCCCTCTGAAAACCTCTGTATATAAATGTTCCTTTATGATATGTACGAAAACAATATTAATGCATTTTACTGGCAGTAGGCTTTATATACTTAGAGAAGGGAATGAGTTTGAAACTTTGTTTTGCCCTAAGATTGAATCATGTGATGAATTACAATTCATTTCTACACACCAAACTAATGAGCGTTTATTAATAGCAGAAAACTTATTAGATGGAAACCAGTAGCACATAAAATTCCTTTTGTTAAAATACAATAAAATGTTATCATTGTGATGTACATTTATAGAGGATCATAGAATCTTACAGCATAGAAACAGGTCCTTCGGTCCACCATGTCTGTGTGGACCAACAAACACCAATCCCATTTACTTTCACTTGCTCCATAATATACTGTGCACTGGCATTTTAAGTGCTCATCCAAATGCTTCTTAAATGTTGCAACAATACCTACCTCCACCAGCCTTTCAGGCAGTACATTCCATATTTCTACAACCCTCAGGGTGAAAAAAAACTTTTCCTCCGATCTTCTCTAAACCATTTACTCCTCACCTTTAAACTTATGCACTCTAGTCTTAGTCACATCTACCATAGGAAAAAAATCTCATGATCTATCCTAACTATGCCTTTGATAATTTTGTATACCTGAATCAGATTCTCACCCCACCCCTAACCTTCTCTGCCCAAAGGAAAACCAACCCAGCCTATCCAATTTCTCTTCGTAACTGAGACTTTTCATTCCAGGTAACATTCTGGTGATTCTCCTCTGCATCCTCTCCTGAGCAATCATGTCCTTCTGATGATATAGCAACCAGAAATGCACACAGAATTCCATCTGTGCCGTAACCATTATTTTAATCAAGTTACAATAAGACTTCCTTGCTGCTATATTCTATGCACCGGCTAATGAAGACAAACATCCGGTATGCCTTCTCCACCCTGTCTACCTGTACTGACACCTTCAGGGATCTATGGACTTGTGCACGAAGATTCTTCTGTTACTCTGTACTCCTTAGGTACCTATCATTCTTTGTGAATATCCCTAAATTGTTAGACCACACAAAATGATCACCTCACAATTATCTAGATTAAATTCTGTCTGCCATTGCTGCCTAATCTGCCAACTGATAAATAATCAGACTTTAGTCTTAGACCAATATCCTTAATATCAACACCACCACCAATTTTTGTGTCATCTGCAAACTTACTAATTATCCCTTCTATATTCACATCTGAGTATTGCATGCACATAACAAGCAGCAAAGTCCCAGCACCAATCCCTGTGGTATACAGCTGACTGCAGGCTTTCAATCATGAAAACAAACCTCCACCATCATCCTTTGCCTCTTAATTGTAATCTGATTTTGGATCCAGTTAGCCAACTTTTGTTGGATCCCATGGACGGTTACTTTTTGGACTAGCCTTCCATGTGGGAAATTCAAAGAACTCAATGAATACTATGTTAACCACATTCACTGCACTACCCTCATCAATATATTTAGTCACTTTTTCAAAAAGCTCAATTAATTTAGTCAGACAGGACTTGCCCCTGACAGATCCATGTGCTATCCTTGATCAATCTCCAAGTTTGATTACTCCTGTCCCTCAGAATTTTTTCCAATTATTTACCTAACACTGATGTCAGTCTAACTAGTCTATAATTACCTGGCTTATCCCTGCTGCCCTTCTTGAACAAAGGAATCATGTTAGCTATCCTCCAATTATCTGGAACTTCATCTGAAATATCTCCACCAGGGCTCCAGCAGTCTCTTTCCTTGCCTCCTGTAGCAGCCTGGGATACATCTCATCAGGCCCTGGGCATTTTATACACCTTTATGCCTGCTAAAGCATTAATACTTCGTCTTTGTTAATCTTAACATCTTCTAGAACCTTACTATCCCAATTGAAATCCCCGGCTACAATGTCTTTCTCCTTATCAAACCAACAGAAAAGTCTTTAATACATTTACATTTTTCATACAGAACAAATTTAATTATACTGCAAAATACAATTGGACCCTTAAACCAAGATAAGAGACCTATCCCTTAAATTAGTTTCTGTGAACAAGAAAAGTGAGCAATCTTGCAAGCCCGAGGCATGTAATGCCAAACTAACTTTGATTCACCAGAACAAATTGAAAGCGCAGCTTGGTGATGTAATGTCTTGCTCCTGATCGAGTTCTTAATGACCAAATTCCACATTTTAATGTTTTGTCGAATGCTGAATTTGCTTGTCTTGTCCCATTGTTTAGACCGCTGTAGTCCTAATTTAATTTTGTTTAAAGCCAGAAGCACATTGAATTGCGTGCAATTTCAAGTCTGTAGTTTGCATAATTTTTATTTCTGGTTTACTTTATTTGTCTTCCAAGTGTAAACTATAATTTAAAACTCCGGTTTATTTGTAGGAGGCAAGCTGTCACCTCAACTTTTACCATTATCTGTTTCAGGGTAGTTTAAAAATGAGACACATATTTTCTGTTTGTAGTATTAACTTCATACTTGTTAATAATTTGGAAGGAGAAACTCCATTCATTACAGTTAACACTTACAAATAGCACATTAACTTTAAAGATTATTTCAGCATTTTGTCATAACATCCTGTCCAATCTCAACATGACGTCCTAACTCCCATACTCAAAGGTCTGAGCAATGAAGGCAAACCTGCGAAACGCCTTCTTAACCATCCTGTCTACACGTGAAGCAAACTTCAAAGAATGATGTACCTGAACTAGGTCTCTGTTCTATAACACCAACCGAGCTGTGACTTTTTTAATTGTATAAATGCTGTCCTTGTTTGTTTTGTCAAAATGCAACACCTCACATTTATCCAAAGTAAACTCCATCTGCCACTCCTCAGCCCATTGGCCCAATTAATCAAGATCCCTTAGTAATTTTAAATAACCTTCTTAATTGTCCACTATACCTTTGGTGTCATCTGCAAACTTACTAACTATTTCTTCTATATTCTCATCTAAACCATTTATACAAATGACATTTTTATATAAATCATTTATATAAATAAAAGTGGACACCACTGGTAACAGGCCTCCAGCCCAAAAAACAACCCTCCACCACTACTGTCTCCTGCTGTTAAGCCAGTTTTGAATCCAATTGGCAAGCTCACCCTGAATCCCATGTGCCCTAACTTTACTAATCAGTTTACTATGCAGAACCTTGTCAAAGGCTTTTTCTAAAGCCCAAGTAAATGATTTCTCTTGCACAAAATCATGCTGACTATCCAGACTTCCAGCACTTCATCTTTTGTAATATGAACTGTTTTCAAAACATCAATATTTATTTCTCTGAGTTCTCTACCCTACACTTATTTCTCCCCCATCCAGTAGTTTACAGACTGTGACATCTGATGTTATCTGTATTCGCCAGTTGCTTTTGAGAGATGAGCATTTCATGTCAATTGTACTACCTTTGTGCTCTCAGGTGTTTTTTTTTCTTCCTTTCCTTCCTACTACATCTAAGCGCAGTCCTGATTCAACAGCTACGGTTAAAAGAACTTGATCTATAGTTGAATCAGAGATAGTAGGAACTGCAGATGCTGGAGAATCCGAGACAACAAGGTGCAGGGCTGGATGAACACAGCAGGCCAAGCAGCATCATAGGACTACAATCCACATTCAAGCCTTCCCAATTTGGCCCCAACCGTGATAATATCTACACTCATGGGGTTGAGCCCTGCCTCCCTAACCTGTTCTTCCTCCCACCTATCCCCTCCTCCCACCTCAAGCCGCACCTCCATCTCCTACCGACCAACCTCATCCCGCCCCCTTGACCTGTCCGTCCTCCCTGGACTGACCTATCCCCTTCCTAACTCCCTACCTACACTCACCTTTCCTGGCCCCATCCCCGCCTCTTCGACCTGTTTGTTTCCTCTCCACCTATCCTCTCCTCTATCCCTCTTCTATCCGCCTCCCACTCTCTCCCTATTTATTTCAAAACCCCCTTCCCCTCCCCCTTTTCTGATGAAGGGTCTAGGCCCGAAACGTCAGCCTCTCTGCTCCTATGATGCTGCTTGGCCTGCTGTGTTCATCCAGCCCTGCACCTTGTTGTCTCTTGATCTATAGTTTGCCTGGTCAAGACGCAAAGAAACATTTGTCATGCTTAGCTTGTCTAAGTGAACAAGAAAAAACTGTCCAGTGAGGAGTGTTCCACATTTGTTTCAAAAATTATATCTGCATTGAGGGCATGTGCTAGCATTACCTATTTCTTCTTGATGTTGCTAACTGTGATATGAAAATAACATAATAGATGTCAATACTGAGTTTATGTACAGAACAAGAAATTAGTGAATAAGTGTTTAATTATTAAACTTGCATATATTCAACCCATGCTTGTTGTGACATAATTGTATCTCAATGTGTGAATTTGTGAGACAATTACAGAGAAGATAACTTTTGAAGAGATTTGAGACACGAGTGACCAATTTAAAGAAATAATTCAACAAGTTTGCATGTTTTAAACATTTACTATAACAACCAGACTAAGTCAATATTGACTGAACATTAGAGGTAGCTAATACTCTAAGCTACAGAGCAGGCATCCCTGACACGGTTTTTAACATGATTGATAACCCCACTCCATTTTAAACATGACAACATACTGTCACTGGAACTGTATTTGTATTTTAAAGTCCCAAATCCTCCCGTCATTTCAGTGGGCTCTCAACCTTCTGTTTCATCTGAGTCTTCTACTCATCGAAAGATCTTTCACTCAATCTTCCTGAACATACCTCAATCGACATGGGACTGTCTGAGGACTTGTCAGTCTTTAAATCTCTTGGAATAAAAACTAAAAGAGAGTGATGTGGAACAGAAATTGGTTGGGTCTGCAGAGGGAAAAGGCTGTTTTATTTGTTAACTACAAGGAAATAAAGAAAGTTTGTCCAATGATTGAATAAAGGAACCTGCAGTGATTTAAGCTTATTGGAAGATTTCCCTTGGCGAGGCTGGAAAAAGAAATCACAGGAGTGTGTTTTAAGTGGGGAAAGTTGATGGTTCAGGAATTCTCAAGGAGAATGAGAAAAAGGATCTTTGGCAGTCCAAGTCACGGAGGTCTATAGGAAAGAGAAAAGCAGTTCAATCCATTGAGTATGCGTCGGTCAAAAACGAGCATATAACTATTCTAATTCCATTTTCCAGCACTAAGTCTATAGCCTTCTATGCCCAGGCATTGCAAGTGTACGTTTTAAATACTTCTTAAATCTTATGAGGATTTCTGCCTCAACCATCCTTGCAGGCAGTGAGATTCAGATTCCCACCACCCTCTGGGTGAAAAACATTTTTTCCCTCACATCTCTAAACCTTCTGCCCTTACTTTAAATCTATCCACCCTCACCATTGAGCCTTACATCAAGGGGAAACTTTTCTTCCTGTCTACCCTCTCTATGCCCCTCATAATGCTTTTCCTCCCCCTCACCACCCCCCCCCCCCCCCCCCCCACCCCACAGTGTCCTCTGCTCCAGGGAAAACAGCCCCAGTCCATCCAATCTCTCTTCATAACTGAAACTCTTCAAATCCAGACAACAACCTGTTAAAATCTCCTCTGCACCCTCCCCAGGGCAATCAATTTTTCCTGTAATGTGGATTCCAGATCTGCGCAGTACTCTATCTGTGGCCTAACCAACTTTTAATAGAGTTCCAGTATAATCTCCCTGATCTCCAACTCCGTGTCTCAGCCAATTAATCTACTTAACCACTTAATCTACTTGTCCTGCTACCTTAAAAGACTGGTGGACATGAACAGCAAGGTCCCTCTGATCCTCCGTACCTCCCTGGACCCTGTTGTTCTTTTTGTATTTCCTTGCCTTGTTTGTCCTGTCTAAAATCATAATTCACAACTATCTGGTTATGGGATATTATGTCTCCATAAAATATGGTAAAATGACTCCATTGGAAGTTAATAGTAACTGTGGAATGTTTTATACAAAGACTAATCCTGTGGAAAATGTGCTGTAATGTGTGTGTATCCGTATATATGTGCAGCATGGAGTTATTAGTTGAATAAGGACAATTTCTGTGGTTTAAAGTATTAATTGACAAGTACTGTTTAGTCATTGTTTAGTTTGTTTGTTGCATCAAAAATTTTAACTTGCAGTCTTGTGTGATTTATTTAAAATATTTGAGAATTTGAATCTCTTGTTAAAGGTTATTGGTCGCTACAAGGATCATAACAGTTCTCACCTGCATTCTGCTTTCGCAGCAATCCGTTTCTTGCATCTTTACTCTGTTTCGGGATCTCCGAATCCATCCAAATTCTATAAATCAGTATATCTGAGTCTCTCAGCCAATGTGAAGCCAATTCAGCCCCTTCCCTTTTCTGTTCATGTGTTACATCTGTCCATTATGATTACCCTGAGCACCCAATCCCCGTGGCAACCAGCTCACATTGCTTATTGCCAGGCAGAACTAGTAGATCCCATAGTTCATTTCACATTGAATTATCAGAAGCAGTTTAAAATCTAACCATCTTATAAAATTTCACAGTCGCACCAGGAGATACAGAAATTCAAAGCCCATAAAGGATCAATGAATGAAACTTATCACTACAAATTGCAATTTGTTGCAGTAAAGTTTTGTTGTGAGCAAACGAGTTGTCTGTTGTGAACTAGGTTTATAACTGTAAAGGAGCCATGGAGTGTTATTCAGCGCTGTTGTACTGCCTGTTGAAGAATAATGACAGCATTTTTTCTATCTGTCTTTTATAACTTTATGTTGATTTCCAATTGTTGCTTTATCGAGTAGGTTAGCACAGAAAGCGACCATTTGGCACATTGAGCCTGTGCCACTCCTTTCAAAGAACATTCCACAATTAAGTTGCCAAGTCTTCCCTATACCTCTTCACATTTTTTCTCCTTCAGTTTTTATCCAAATTCCTTTCTAAAAGCTATTTTAAAAATTGTCATTCACGCCCTGTAAGGCAGTGTGTGTTCCAAATTATAACTAATTTTGTAATAAGGTTTTTCCTCACGTCTACTTTTGGCTGTCACCTGCAATCAGGCTCTAGCCATTGGTAAAGTATGCAGATTTTGAACAACGCTGTCAAATCTCCATTAACCCCTTTCTGCTTTAAGGAGAACCAAACTGCCCACCAAACTGGAGTCCCTTATCCGTAGAATAATTCTAAGAAGTTTATGTTGTCCCTTTTCCAAGGACAATAGTTTGAAATTATATTAGTGGACCCTTGGAACTGAGAATCACCCTATGCAATAAATGCTGCCTCACCAAATTGCTTTCAGCAACAGCTGAACCTATTTCTGGCAAACACAGAATCAGTCACTGAAAGAAGATAGTTACTGTAGGAAATTCAGGACTAGAGTGATGATCTGGACTAGTTTGCATCACCTGCATGGGTTAGACAGGGATTTGGCAGATTTTCCCTTGAGTTAATGTGGGTTTGTAATCTCACTTTTCTCTATCCCAGAAAATCCCATAATTTTGGATACGGTAGAGAATATACATCTGTTGTGATATACAATATAACAGTCATTTGGGACTGACTGTATAGACCTGTGGATCTTTAGCTCTCTGTCATAATCATATTTAAATGCCCACTAATGCCATCATGGGAAAGGAGGAAATATCTGGAGCTCCCTGATGACTCTGTGGATTAATGCACTACCCAATATAGGGCTAAGCCAGGTTGATCAGAAAGATCCAAATTATTTCATTGTTTGTGTCAAATTATTTAATTTCAGTTTGTTCAATAGTGTTATTATTTAAGACAAAAAAGTCAAAAGTTTCAAATCACAGCTTCATGAGAGAGATTTGGCTGAGAAAACTCCCTTTAGCTCATTTGTGATTACACCCTTCAAGAATAGAGCTTACCTTCAACCTTGACATCCTTTGTTGTTTCTTCAAGTATTAACCAGAGAATGTTTTCATGTTTTGTTTTTGATTTAGGCAAAGATGTTGAGGCATAGATAAATGAGAGGCCATGATAAATAATGCCTGTTCGTATGTGAAATTAATTGTTAGCTAAGATGAGAGTGGGTGAAAATGACTGCCCTTGACATCAAAGCAGCACTTGACTGAGTAAGACGTGAAGGAATCCTTGTAAAACTGGAACCAATTTGAACAATGGATACCCTGATCAAACCATCACTCCTGCATCGCAAAACTCATGAAAGGGCCAATGTCCATCATTTGTAACCTTGAGCGGTGCCCAATCTACCTCAGTTTAACCTGCAAGGAGATGATGCTTCAAAAGTTTGAACAGGTGAATCTAGCTGTTCCACACTGTTACTGTGCAGTAAATCCATGAGTTGGTTTCTCTACTAATGGGATGCTGCTGTCAAGTCACAAAGATATTTTGTCTAACACAATTGTGTAATGTGATACAAGTTCCGTTGGTGGTGTGATGCCAGGTATGTAGGCTGTATGTCCTAATGACTGGCAGATTATGTCAAGCAACACGTCCTGTTGGCTATTCAGTTAGCAGAAAGCCACTCCTGCTCAACTAACTTGTGCTTGCAAGTCTCAGAAAAGCATATCCATCATTAGATGTGATTCTGTTATTGGACATCATTTATTAAATAATCTGGACTGTGTTAAGTGTTAAAATTATGGTCCATCCAATCACCACCCTCTTTTCATTCCATATAAAATAGAATCTTTTGTTTTGTCTCTTTCTTGTATCCTAGTCCAAATGAGCTCAAGACATAAAACTTCAACTTCTATTTTTCTTTTAGCAATGTTTACATTCTGCACTACCATGTTTTGCATCAATACTAAATGGTTTTCAATTTCAACTTCACTTCAGATCTGGAAGCAGCATTTTAAGAAAGTACTTATGTACGTTAATGTTTGACAGGATTTAATGTGTGTTAATATTTGTGGGGATGATGGTGATTAAAGTGACCTTAACAGATTAACTTTATTGTTGCAAAGATTTAACACTTCAAATTGAAGTAACAATGAAAGCAGTCAAACTAAAGATTTAGTTATGTTGAACAGTTTCATTTTTCTCTCTTTTTAGTCAATGGACTTATTCCAACAGAAGTTACAAGAAGCTGAAAAAGTTGCAGCATTAAATTATCAAGACCACCATGAAAAGAATAGAAGAGAGAATTGGAAAAAATCAAGAAGCTGGAGTTCTGGTCGAAATGAAACAAAAGACTATGGTCATGAAAGGGATCTGAGTAGAAACAAAGGCAGATATGATGAAGATGATAGAGATACTAAAAGAGAAAGATCAAAAGAAAGTTTCCAGGACCTGATTATTTGCAAAGAAAAGGATGATGGAAGAAGAGATATTCCAAATAGATATAGAAACAAATACGCATCCAGTGACCGAGAAATTGAAATGGAATGTGCCAAAGATAAATGTACAGATAAGAGTGGAGAAATTAACAGAACCAGTGAAGAAAAATATAAAGAGACCAGGCAAAGAAACAATAATGCTAGAGGTTTGGAAAGTTACAATTTTCGTGAAGTGGAGAAAGAGAGATCTTTAAATAATTTAAAATCTAAGTTTATGAAACCTGAAGATGAAGGAAGTAGTAATAGTAAATGGGGCATCAACCTTCTGAGCACTTCTAACCATAAGCCAGAAGCACACCGTTCTTTTAGTAGTGGTTTTCAAAAGCCAGGCAAAGACAGTAATAGAATGTCAACATGGTACAAAACCAATAATGGAAACAAGCCGTCAGAAGAGTCTACATCATTTCAACATCAGAGCAGTGTTTCAGAACACATGGAAGCCCCACACTCTATGAACAAATTGACGGAGACCAAGCCCAGACAAAGTAGTCTTGTACAGGTACAATCTTCACAAGATCATCAGGAGCCAATTTCTAGGTAGGTGTATTTCATATCACCATTTTATGTATTATGAGATATCTGTGCCAGAAATCACACTTATGGCTTTCGCAATGAGCATTAGTTGTGACCTGTATAATATTAAATTGACATAAATTAATTAGGAAGGGTATGCTGCTGAAATAAAATATTAATATTCATCAAGGTCAAAGTTGTCATGACTGGTGGAAGCATCATCTGACTCTGGGATGTAATTTCTAAGTGTTGGGCTCAGATGAGGATTTCTGCCTCAATTCTCGTTTGTTGGAATATTTCATAAAGAAGCATCCTGAAAATCACAATTGTAGCCGCTTCCATACTATTGTGTCTTTAAGATGCTTTATGCTGGCCGCAGAAGCAGTGATTTCCTCCTCTTTTTAGCTTTCCAATTTTAGCATACAGTTTTGAAGGATGTTCAAATTTGGATTGTTTTTCTGGGATAGGTTTTATTACGTTTTAGTTTGTATGACACGATAAATCAAGAGTGTGATGAAATACTCACCATTTGCTTGGATGAGTGCAGGTCCAGCAACACTCAAGAAGCTTCACACCATTCAAAGCAGTCCACGTCCGTAAATATTCACTCCCTCCACCACCGATGCTCAGTAATAGTGGTGTTTACCATCCACGAAATGCACAGCATAAATTTGCCAAAAATCATCAGACAGCAACTTTCAAACGCATGACCACTTGCCTTGAGAATGACAAGGGCAGAGTTACATGGGAACACCACCATCTGCAAGTTCCCCTCCAAGCCACACACCTTCCTGCCTTGGCAATATGTTTCCATTCCTTCATTGTTGCTGGGTCAAAATACAGGAATTCACTCCTTATCAGCATTGTGGACATACCTACGCCACATGGACTGTAGTGTTTCAAAAAGGCAGCTCACCACTGCCTTTTCAAAGGTAACTAGGGACGAGCAATGCCTAAGCCCCATGAGTGAATACTATGAAATTGCAGAACAAATTCATGCTAATTTTCTTTTTGTTTTTGTGTCTTAATGTATTAAGTTACCTGAGCACAATGTGTACAGGAAAGTGAGATGAACAATAAGAATTGAAAGTCTAGAACTTTGCATGAGATAGGCTGATGGCTGCAGAGTTCTGAATGAGTTGGAGCCTGTGCTGGTTATGATTGGAAAGCCTTGTGAGGAATACACTGCAGTATGAAGTGACAAAGGCACAGATTTTTCAACAGCGTTCAACTGACGTAGAGGTGAGGGCAGGCAACAGAATGTGTGAGGTTATGCACTTCGGCACGAAAAATCTCCGAGTAAGGGGTCACCCATTTGAGACACATTAGGAAGAATGTTTTTTAGGTAACGAATCTGTGGAATTCTTTGCAGAAAGTGGTCACAGCCAGGTTATTAAGTATATTCCAGGTTGAGATTGTTAATCAAGTAATGGTTTCGCAGGCTGGGGGGTAAGGCAGGAAAGTGGAATTGAGGATTATAAGCTCAGCAATGATCTAATTGAATGGTGGAACAGACTTAAGAGGCCAAATGGGCTACTTGTAGTCTACAATTCATCCATTTGGCACTTCTGTTGGACATGATCATAAATGTTTCAGTCTTGTTTTTTATATTGATGTGCTGGGCTCCTCCATCATTGAAGAAAGACAAGATTTTGGATCTGCCTGCTTTGGCTAGTTTAATTGCCCACTATCATTTTGTGATTAGATGTGGCAGTACTGCAGATCATTAATCTGATCCAATTGATATGGGTGTACAGGATAGTGTTAAGGGCTTGAATGGGGAAGAATTTGCTAAATGTGTTCAAGAAAATTTTCTTTATCGATATGTAGATGTACCTACTAGAGAAGGAATAAAAGTTGACCTTCTTTTGGGAAATAAAGCAGACCAAGTGACTGAAGGGAGCACTTTCGGACCAGTGATCATAATTCTATTAGTTTTAAAATAGCTATGGAAAAGGATAGGCCTTGTATAAAAGTTAATGTTCTAAGTTGGAGTCAAGCCAATTTTGACAGCACGAGACAGGAACTTTCAAAAGTTGATTGGAGTAGACTGTACACAGGAAAAGGAGCGACTGGCAAGTGGGAGGTTTTCAAAAGTGAGATAACAAGAGTTCAGAGGCAGTATGTTCCTGTTAGAGTGAAAGGTAAGGCAGATAGGAGTAGGGAACAATGGGTGTATAGAGATATTGAGGCTCTAGTCAAGAAAAAGAAGGAGCCATATGTCAGGTATAGAAAACTGGGATTGTGAATCTTTTGAAGAGTATAGGGGAGTAGGGACATTCTTATGATGACAGTCAGGAGAGTAAAATGGGGATATGCGATGACCCTATCTGCAAAGGCTGAGGATAACCTAAAGAGATTCGACAAGTACGTTAAGATCAAAAGAGCAATCAGGGAGAGAATAGGGCCCCTTCAAGATCAACAAGGTCATATACGTGTGGAACCACAGGAGACGGGAGAGATGCTAAACAAATATTTCTCATCAGTATTTACTGTGAAGAACGACATGGTAGCTTGTGAACTCAGGGAAATTAATATTGATGTCTTGAAAACAGTCCACCTGATAGAAGAGGACATGCTTGAGGTCTTAAAAAGCATATGAGTAGATAAATCGCCAGGACACTGTGGGAAGCTAGGGCAGAGATTGCGGGGCACCTATCAGAGATATTTGTGTCATCTACAACCACAGGTGACATGCTAGAGGAGTGGAGGGTGGCTAATGTTATGGCTTTATTTAAGAAAGGATGTAAGGAGAAGCCTGAGAACTATAGACCGGTCAGTCTGATGTAAGTGGTGGGTAAATTGTTGGAGGGGAGTCTGAGAGACCAGGTTGACAAGCATTTTGAGAGGCAAGGTCTGATTAAGGATAGCCTGCAAGGCTTTGTGTGTGAGAAATCATGTCTCCAACTTGATTGACTCATTTTGAGGATGTGACCAAGAAGACAGATGAGGGCAGAGCAGTAGATGATGTCTGTGTGGACTTTAGTAAAGTCTTTGACAAAGTTCTGCAGAGTAGACTGGTTAGTAAAGTTAGATCACATGGGATTCAGGAAGAAGTTGCCAATTGGATACAAAATTGGCTTGATAGTGGAAGGCAAAGAGTGATGGTGGAGGTTATTTTTTGTACTGGAGGTATGTGACCAGTGGTTTGCCTCAAGGATCTGTGCTGGGTCCACTGTTGCTTGTCATTTATATAAATGATTTGGATGAGAATTTAGGAAGCATGCTTAGTAAGTTTGCAGATGACATCAAAATTTGTGGTATAGTCGACAGTGAAGAAGGTTATCTAAGATTACAAAGGATTACAGAGCCACTTTGACACTTCTGTCTTCACCACCTCTCTTCAAAAAATTCCAGGACGGAACAACCTTTTTAAACAGTGTTCAGGTACATAGTTACTTGAGAGTTGTGTCGTATGTCGACAGGGTGGTGAAAAAGGCGTTTGACACCCTTGCCTTCATTGCTCAGACCATTGAATATAGGAGTTGGGATGTCATGTTGAGATTGTACAGGATGTTGGTGAGGTCACTTTTGAAGTACTGTGTACAGTTCTGGTCACCCTGCTATAGGACGGATATTATTAAATTGAAGAAAGTTCAGAAAAGATTTACGAGGATGTTACAGGGACTGGAGGGTTTGAGTCATAAAGATAGGCTGGGACCTTTTTCCACTGGAGCGTAGGAGGTTGAGAGGTGACCTTATCAAGGTTTATGAAATAATGAGGGACATAGATAAGGTGAATAGCAAAGGTCTTTTTCCGTACGGTTGGGGAATTCAAGGCTGGAGGGCATAGGTTTACCGTGAGAGGGGAAAGATTTAAAAGGGACCTGAGTGGCAATGTTTTCACACAGAGGGTAGTTCATATGTGGAATGAACTGTCAGAGGAAGTGGTAGATGTAGGTACAGTTGTAACATTTAAAAGACATGTGACAGGTACATTAATGGGAAAGGTTTAGAGGGATATGGGCCAAACACAGGCTAATGGGACTAGTTTAGTTTGGGAAACTTGGTCAGCATAGACAAGTTGGATGAAGGCTCTGTTTCTGCGCTGAACGTTTCCATGACTCTATCTTGGTGTCAGTTTGACTCTGGGATTTGAAGCTGAACTTGGGACATAGAACATCTGTTGTCATTGTATTGTCGTCGACACTTAATGCAGTCTGGAGAAACTTGAGAGTTAGAGACTTAAAGGGCTTAAAGTTAGGCAACAATAGTGCATTCCAGGACTTCAGAAAGGTAGAGCATAGCAGGAAAAAAAAACTCAGCAAATCTGGTAACAGAACAGAATGCTTTTAAAAAAGGATCACTGGACCCAAAACATTGACTCTGCTTGCTTTCCAGTGGCTCAGTGATTAACACTGCTGCCTCAGAGCGCCAGGGACCCAGGTTCAATTCCTCCCTCAGGCTACTGTGTGGAGTTTGCACATCCTCCCCGTGTCTGCATGGGTTTCCTCCAGGTGCTCTGGTTTCCTCCTACAGTCCAAAGATGTGCAGGTTAGGTGGATTGGCCATGCTAAATTGTCTGTAGTGTTCAGGGATGTGTAGATTAGGTGGGGTATAGGGGGATGGGTCGGTTTGGACTTATTGGGCCAAAGGGCCTGTTTCCACACTGTAGGGATCCTATGAAAAGATGCTGCCAGACCTGCTGACTATCCAGCAATTTCTGTTTTTGTTGTGGAACATAGTGGAATTTAGATGTAGGGAAGGCATAGGGAATTAGGACAACTATTTGGTGGATATCCATTAACAGACTGCAGTAAGCCATTGGTTTGCTTGTTGCAAATTCTATTTGATTCTGTACAAAGTTCTAAGGGACAAGTATGAGAGCTTAGATGGGCTTTAGTTATTTTAAGAAAGGTGTTGACAAATCAACTATAAGTATAACATATCCTTCAATAATATCCAATATCTTATTGCAGGAAGTTCAAAGTACTTTTTCTAAATGTAGAATTTTAGGCCACCAAACTAAGAAACCCTTTCTATTAAAACCATTGTTAATCTTTAGCATATAGTCACTAACAGAT